ATGACCTTGTACTTGCCAGACAGGTGCTTATGCCACTGAGCTACATCCCTGGCCCATCTCTTAAATCCTTGATTTGAGAAGGGGGGTCCATGTCTGTGTCTCCCACACTCACACCACTGCCTCATGTCTGCATCCCAGCCGTTGGCCATGTGCTTCCTGCATCCCTGGAGTTTAGCCCAGTGACTGGTTCATGGTTGAGGCTCGCAAACAGTGGCTCACTTGAACTGAATCTCTGTGCCTTTCCAAGCTGGTGGACAGTGGGGGCTGGGAGTTCTGTGTTAAGGGTTCTGGGGCTGCACACAGCACCCATCATGTCTGGCACAAAGTGAATGCTCAATATGGCCAGCTGTTAGTGTCCCTGTTGTTCTCAGGAGCTGGTTCTCTGGATCTAAACCCAACCTGGCCTTCAGTAACACTTCTGCAACCCAAGGGTAAAACGACCTGAGGACACCTGTACTGTCCTTAGCAGAAAGAACATCGAAATGAAGACTGTCACCCTGCACCTGAGATCTGTAGGGCCTACCCACTTGCTTCAGGGACTGGCACCAACTCCCTGGGTCTCAGTAGCTTCTTCAGTAAAACAAGAATGACTCCAATCCTCCCAGAGTCCAGAGGCAGCCGCCTGATTCATCTTGATGAGGGACACCATTCAGCCGTCACCTTTGAGGCCTGGGTGTGGGCTCAGCAGATGGGGACCCAGAACCAAACCACTACAGGCGACAGCAGAGTCCTCACTCCCAGCCCCGCCCTCCCAGCCCCGACCCATCTTCACCCACCCAGAACTGTGTAGACACCTTAGAATGGGCTCAAACCTGTACTGCCCCATTTCCTCACTGGGTGACCCCTAGCCAAGTGCACCTCACTCAGTCTGTTTCTTTATTTATAAAATGGAAAGAATGTCTTAGACTCACAGAAATTTTTGTAGGAGCATTAAATAATTGAATAAAGAATGTACTCAGAGTGGGGCACAGACATACAGTCCCAGCTTCTCAGGAGGCTAGAAAACATAGCAAGACTCTCCTTTTTCTCTCTCTCCCTCCCAGCTTTCTTCCCTCCTTCTTTTTCAAGAATGAACCTGGGGCCTTCACACTGAGCTTTGTTTTTTGGTACCAGGAATCAAACTCAAGACCTTGAGCTTGCCAGGCAGGTGCTGTGCCACTATGCTACATCCCTAGCCAACACTGAGCTTTGAGATAGGGTCTTAAACCACTACGCTGCCCAGGCTTGGCTTCAATTTGTGATCCTCCTCCCTCAAACCCCCAGAGTGCTGGGATTACAGGTGTGTGCTGCCTCAACTGGCTGAGATCCTGTCTCTTTAAAAAAATAAAATAAAATAAAAAAGCAAGAAAGAAAAAGAAAAGAACACTTAGGCATTCGGGAGGCCCAGGAAGTGCTCAGTAAATATGACCTTTATCATCATCATCATCATCGTCTTGTCCCACAACGGTATCTCTTGAAGCCTAAACAGGAATCACCAATACCTGCCTCATGATCAGCACGAGGCCAAATGAACTGCTACCTGTAGCACAGAGTTAGGCACACCAAAAATACTCAGTAAATGATGGCTGCATTTACTATTGGACTTATTGTTCACCATTCTTTTTCTACATGATACTATATTGTCCAACTCCAGGGCATCAGGCGCGTGAACAAATCTCATTCTCTCAGGGGAACTTTGCAATAAGCAAAGACAGACCTACCCTCATGGGAGACAGACAGTCTGAAGACACAAATTTACTGATGGAAGAGCAAATGGCTTTGCCCACCTATGCACACGTGTCACTGAGTGTGTACATGGAGTTAATGTGTGCATAGATGCATCAGGATATCTGTGACAGTAAGTGTACATAGTACTGTGTGATAGTTAATGTGCATCTGGCTGCTCAAGGGAATACCTGTGTATCATGCACACACAGGTATGCATGTGTGTTGTGTATGTGACACGGTATCAAGTGTATATGTGAATTACAAGTGGGGGCAGGAGAACCTACAGCCCAGTGTGAACCTGGGTGAGGGTGGGTAGAGGTACAGGCAAACGCAAGTGAGAACAGAACCGAGCTGGTGCCCTCTACAGCTCAAGGAGCTCTCAGAGGTCATCATAGCCACACGTCAGCCTCAGTGAGGTGGAATGCACCTGTGCCCAAGGATCTGCTCCCCCGCTCAGAATCCTTCCCAGTGCAAAGTTGTGGTTTCCAGGAAGTCCTTCCTGCATTCTGACCACACTCCCAGTACGACACCAGAAACCAGAAGTCCCCTAAACCCTGAATGAATCAGTCAGCCCTACATTCAAGTTCACACACAATTTAGGCATTCTATACTTTTTTTTTTTTTTACCAGTACCAGGGATGGAACTCACAACCACACGCTTGCAAGCCAGGTGCTTATGCCAGTGAGCTAAATTCCCAGCCCCCCCCCCTTTTTTAGACAAAGTCTCACTACGTAGTTCAGGCTGGTTTCAAACCCATAGTAAGCCCCCAACTCAACCACCCAAGTGCTAGGATCACAGGTGTTCCATTCTTCTCCCACAAATTCTCAACATCAACAATCCTTGTCCCTCCACCATTTGAAGGGCAAAGAGCTAAGTTACTGGGGCTTCTTTCTTGCCATTATTGAACCTGATATGTGACAAAGAAGTGAGGTTGGGCATGGGTCTAGAAGCCCTCAAGAAGTAAGCAAGCCACATTACAGCTGTGAGGGAGCAATTCTTGAACTCTTTTTTTGGGGAGGGGAGACACTGGGAATCAAACTCAAGATCCTTGTGCTTGCCAGGTAGGCGCTTATGCTACTGAACTATAACCCCTGTCTCAGGGAACAATTCTTTTTTTTTTACACTTTTTTTTTTCTTTTTTCTTTTTATCGGTACCAGGGATCAAACTCACGACCACCTGCTTGCAAGGCAGCGAAGGAACAGTTCTTAATCCAAGGGTAAAAAAGACCTTAGACACTGGGGCCAGGGATTTAGCTCAGTGGCATAAGCGCCTGCCTTGCAAGAGTGTGGTCGTGAGTTCAATCCCTGGTACGGGTAAAAAAAAAAAAAAAAAAAAAAAAACCTAGACACTAAGGCTTGAGGTGGGTAGTGTGGACCCACAGAGGAGACCTCCCTTTGGAGAACCGATCCCGCCCAGGCCCCTTGGTGGGGAACCGGAGACAGATGAGCCAAATTTTCTTTAGCCCCGCAAAACTAGTGTCCAAACCATAACCCTTAGTTCAAGCCCTGGCTTTCATAGTGATGCAGTGCAACAAAGCACACATTTACTGGATAAGTTTCCGCAGCTACACAATGCACTTGTCATGTATTGTTCCATCGAAGCCACAAATTGTTTCAGTGGGGTTGGGGACCATCAGTGTTACCCAGATTTTGTAACTGAGGAAACCATGGCAGCAGACAGCTTAGGCAAGTACCTCCAGCCTGCAATTCACTGGCAGTGCAGTATTTAGGGGACAGGAATAGGCCCCTCAAAGTGTATTCAAGCATGATCACCCAAATCCAGAGCCCAGACTTTTTTTTTGGTGGTGGAGAGGTACTGGTGATGAAACTCAGAGCCTTTGGAGCTACATCCCCAGCCTGATTTTTATTTTTTATTTTGTGACAGGTTTAAGCCCCTAAATTGCCCAGGTTAGGCTAGAAATCTGATCCTCTTGTCTCAGTTTTCTGAATTACTAGGATCACAGGCATGCACCACTACACCAAGACAGAGCCCAAACTCTTAACCACAGTGTGCTTACGAGGAATTCCAGACAGTCCCTTTTCTCTCAGTGTCCCCAGTTTAGGCAGTGATGTACTAGATCCCATGACCTCTCCTCTCAGGGAGAACCCCAGCAAGCCTCTCAGAGGGAGGCCCAGGGCCACCCTTCAAGTCTGGTGAAGCATGTAGATGGCAGGACCACACCAGATCCACTGAAGGGGACTCTATACATGGCCTCCTCCTATTTGCATGCTCACTAGGGGGAGTAGTCTGAAAATTCCTGGGGTGATAGCATCCCTTGTACTGAAAGAAGCTAGGAGAATATGGGACCCACTATTCTCTCCCAAGCCCTCCTGGGAGAAACTTCAGGTTTTAAGTCTGAGGGTGCTCTGAGGCCCGGCTACCACTCCTTCCTCACCAAAGAGCAATACCAATATAAGATCCATGAATGCCAGGGGTGTTGCCAATTACAGGTGAGGAAGAAGAAATGAGTACCCTCCCCCTTAATCTTCCCCTACTGTCCCTAAACCAACCAGGTACAAAGGTATTAACTGCTCCGACTGCTTGTCACAAAACTTGAGGGGGGGGGGGCAACCTATGCAACTTGTGGGGAGGAAGGCAGTAGCCAGCTACACGGGTAGGAAGAGAGGAGCCCCTCACAGACAAAGGCTGACCCCAGCCAGGCCAACTGGACAGCTAGCCCACCCGCTTCCCCCTGAGGCAGGCAGCTTGGCAGGGCTGAGCACCAGCTCCTAACTCCAAGCCCAGTTCCCGCCCAGCTTGCTTTAATGCAGCGGTGGTGACATTTCTGCCCCCAGAGGCAAAAACAGGAACCCAGCCATTTTGATGAAGAGCGCGCAGACGCTGGCAGGAGGATAGGAGGGTCGCCTGTAACTCCTGCACCCGCTTCGCTGCGTCCCTCACCCTGGTCTGTGCGCCGCCCTGGCCCAAGCCAGAGGATCATAAAACCAGGGTCGCCAGACAGGAAGGCTGCGTCAGAAGAACCCTGGACTGTTTTGCCCAAGTGGGGACACTGAGGTCCCTGTGGCTGACGCTAACCAGATCTGGGGAAAGCGAAAGAGGGTACTAAGAAAAGCCCCAGGAAGGATTCCCCGCGGCATATCCGAAGGGAGGCCAAGCGGCGGACCCAGTGGGCCATAAAGACCTATCTTCAGAGTCTGCACACCGAGTCCTCGGCGCGGTGCGCCCTCAGGAGGGCGCTCGCACCACCCCTAACCTCCAAGCAGCGAGAGGGTTAAGCTTCCCCGCGGTACTTGCCGCAGTAAGTGGAAAGGAAAGAAGTGTCAACTCTGTTCTCACCACAGCGGGGCTGTCGCATGGCACCTCCCCCCGCCCGGCGCACCCCGCCCGGCCTGCTCCCCCGCCCTCCCCTCTGAGCGCGCGCACACACCTCCCACCGCTTTGCCCAAATTATTTTCGATCCCGGGAGACTCCGGATGCCAGACGCGCTCGGCGGCGGCGGCGGCGGCGGTGGCGGCGGCGACGGCCGCCGCGCCTGATTCATTGCGCCAAAGCTGCAGATGCGACCTCCCGCCTGCGCCCGGTGCCCCGGCCCGCGCCGGGCTGCGCGCGGGCCTAGGGAGACTGGGGGAGGGGGCAATTTATAGGTGCTTTCCCCTCCCCACAAAAGACGGGCTCTAGACCCCCGGGGCCAGGTCCCCTGTCTCCAGCTCCCTGGGCTGCGCTAATTAGCTTCCTCCGGGGGCGCCACGCGGTGTGAGGGGCGGCATTTCCCGGCTGGGCTGCGGGGGAAGCGCTCCTGCCGCCTGGGAAGGTGAAATGGGAAACTCGATTCAAAGAGAGCTTTCCTCCCCCCTCCCGCCAAGCACCGTAGAAAACGGGTTTGAAATTCCTCCTCTTTTTTTTTTTATTTATAGTGCACGGTCTCCATGGCAACCGCGGAGGAGGTCACGGTAGCTGGGCCCCCGCGCGTCACCCCGCGCCTCGCCGGCTGCAGGCGCCCGGATTGCGGCCTCCCAGGCGCCGTGGCCCGCGTGGACTCAGCTCTGAGTTCTCCGCCCCCGCTCCGCCCTGCAGAAGGCTGCGGTCCCGGCCATATGACTGTGCCCGGTCCCAACCGGGAATATCGCACCTGGGTACCAGTGCACTAAACTATGCCTCTGTCCCCGGGCTTCAGCACGCGGGACTGCGCCACGAAACACGTGCCCAACCCCAAGATGGGAACATGTGCGACAAGACGCCGCAGAAAGGCTCTCTGCACTTCTGGATGCCCTAGGGAATCGACCTATACTGGCGCGCGACTCTAGAGCTCTTGCCAAGACCACCCGTAGCTAAGTAGGCTGGCTCTGGCGTCAGAGCCGAGTCTTGCCCTGGCAGCTTATTAGCTCTGACTTTAGCAACGTCACAGTCTTTCTGCGCCTCAGTTTACTTGTCACCAAAATGGAACTGATATTTAAATTGATTCAAAGTATGTTTAACGCTCAACACAGTGTTTGACAAGTGCTTATGAAGATCTGCGGTCTGGGCTATTTTTTCATGGCTGGGAAAGTCCAAGTCCAGCAAGCTTTATTTAAGGGGGCACGCTCAGCCGGGAGGCTACGAGTTACGCACCCAGAAGCGTCCCGCACCGCTGCCTAGGCGCACAGGCTGCAGGTGAGCGGACGCGCACGCGCAAGGCACAGGACCAGGACCCGCCTGGGGCGAGGTAGGCGGGGCTAGTGTCTGCAGCGCTAGCCACGTCCACACCCGGAACCCTGGAAACCCGGGGCCCCCCGCGGGCGTCCTCACCACCTCTTTCGCCCCAGCACCATTAGCAACAGGCCAGCCTGCCGTCAGTGCTAGAACTGAGGCCGCACCTGCCCCACCGGATGGCGGCCCCGGGACCCGGCCGTGCCCCCCACCGCGAACACTTCCTCCCGGACCCCCAGCGCCCCGTCCAGTGCGCAGGGGGAGGGGAACCGGACCGCCCCCGCCCCATCAGCTTCCCACAGCCTGAGCTGCCCGGAGCCGGGGAGGCAGGAAGTCTCAGAGCCGGGGCGTGGAGGCGGGGTGGGGGCAGGAAGTTGGGGGTGACTCTCCCAGAGACCCCAGACGGGGCCCAGGCGTGGGAGCGGGCGCTTAGGGATTAAGGGCGCCCCCCTCCTCTGTAGCCTTAGGCCGTGTGACCCGGCTGGAGCGCCCCGCGGGCGAGGACCAAGGCCGCTACCTCTGGCGACCCCCAGCAGCGCACGCCCGGCGGGAGGGGCCGCCTTTGTCTACTGCGGCGCGGTCGGCCCCCACAACCCCTCCCCCCCGCGCCCTGCCGGGCCCTGCACAGCCCGGGTTTTCCATCCGGCCCGGCTCGGCTCGGCAGCTGTCAAGGGACCGAGCTGACCTTCGCGAGCAGGGAGTTTCAATTAGCCGCAGATCAGATAAGCGGGCGGGCCCGTCTCTCTGGGCACCGCGGGGGCGCAGCCCCGCCCCCGCCACGCCGCGCCAAACGCGCTCCAGATGGGAACAAAGATGAGGACGCTGCTCCACCTGCCTCCCCGGGGAGGGGGGAAGAGGAGGCCCCGCGGGGAGAAGCTTCCCACCCTAGGAAGGAGTTATGCACCTTCCCCTTGGGGTCTGGGATGCCTTGCACGGGGCAAGGGTCTGACTAAGATAATCTTCGACTCTTTGCCTCCTGCACTGACCTCCCTAGTTGGGCATCGTGCCCTCCCTCTCCCGGAGGGAGCTTATGCCATCCCTGATCTCATCTGAATGAAGCCTTTGGGGGAAGCTGGGAGAATAGGCCACAAGAAAAAGGAAACTGAGGCAGAGAGAAACTTGGACTTCTTGATTCAGATCACACCGAGCATATATTATCTCAGCTATTTATTGAGTGCCTACTAAGTACTAGGTATTATTTAAACAGGGGACACCAAGGAACAAATAGTCTTGTTCCCAGCCTAGAGAAAACAGTCTAGCTCAGGGAGGCAGCCCCATAATCAAGTAAACAAATAGTTGAACAAGATCACTGGAGAGAGTTGGAGGAGCCAAGAAGACATTAAAATAGGTTTCTCTGAGGTGAGATTGAACTGAGGCCTGATGAACTGGCCAGAATAAACTGAACAAAGGATAGAGGGTCAGTCTACTTGGTAGGGGCACAGCTCAGGTAAAGGCTCCAAGCTTTGAAGGCCTTACCTGGCAAGTTGAGGGCTTTGTGGGCATGACCATAGGCCCAGAGGGCTGCATATAGGACAGGGTCTTGCAAAGCTGGTGAGGGATCAGGGCTTGTAAAATGCATCAGGAAGCTGGGTGTGGTGGTGCACAGCTGTAATTCCAGCATTCAAGGAAGGAAAATCATGCTTTGAGTTCAAGGCCAGGCTAGGCTGCACAGTGAGTTCAAGGCCAGCCCGAGCTACATAGCAAGACCCTGTTTTAAATAAGCAAGCAAACTATCTGAGTGACCTTGGGTAAGCATCTCAATCGATTTCCTCAAGCATTTAAAAGCAAAAAAAAAAAAAAAAAAAAAAAAGTTGTGTGATCATCCAGATTGTCACTGTGAAGTTTGAATTGGAGTATGATGTAACATGTGGAAAGTGTTTAGCACAGAACATGGTTTTAAAAAAAAAGTGGATGCTCAAAAATTTTGGTGTGGTGGTGGACGCCTCTAATCCCAGCACTTGGGAGGCTGAGAAAGGAGAATCACCAAGACTACAAGGTCGGCCTGGGCTACATAATTTCAAGGACAATCTGAACTATACAGCAAGACCCTGCATCAAAAAAACAAAAAAGAAAGAAAAACACGGTGTGTTGTTGCTACCCCACCCACCTCCACACACCTGCCTCTTTGCACCAGAATCTTCCTCTAGCCTTTCCGCCCACCCCACCTCCAGGTGTGTGCTTTCCTGTCTGAGGGCAGAAACTCCTCCCTTCCCATGACTCCTCCCAGCATGGGAGGGCAGTTCCAAGGTGGAAGTCAGCCTTGGGAAGGGACCAGCCCAGTCCACATAGCTCACAGAACTAACTGGGCTCCCTGTTATTCCAGGACCCCGAATCCTCAACATGGGATAACCTTAAGAGACAGTCCTTGGTTTCCATGTGATGATCAGCCTGCCAATCAGAAGAGGTAAAGAGGTGAACTGTTCAGTTATTGCTCATCCAATAGATCAGTCAAATGACCCTTGCTCAGGCCTGGCTGCAGTGAGGGCTCAGAAAAGCAAACCCAGGCTCTGTCCTCAGGAAGATACCTGCACAATGATTTGCTGTTGGTTATGTCGTTTTGCTCTGTGGGAGCTGAGAGCAGGGCACAAAGGTTGGAAGGCTAGGAGAAAGAGGGCTCTTTGGGAGGCAGTTACTACAATTACAGTTGTCGTTTATGGAGTCTTTTACCCAAGGCCAGGCACCTTGCTCTGGTCCACCCATGCTACATATGTCACTGAGTCCTTCCAACCACCCCATGAGATCAGTACAATTAGTTCTTAATTTATGTGCAAATAAACAGAAGATTTGAGAGGGGATACCTTGTTCAAGGTCACACAGCAATTAAGTGGTGGTGCTAGGAATCAAACCCAGGTCCAGCTGAGGCCAGGCCAAGAGAATTTAACCATTCTGTGATCTGGTCTTCCATGCCATTAAATAGAAGGATGCCTCTGAAAAGCCCTCAACAAAAGTCCTGTAAGAATGGGTCTGTCCCTTCCCTGTGGGCTCAGTCCTCAAGGATAATTGCTTCATCTGAATCCTCCAGAGCCCAGCCTGGAGCCAGGTACACAGTAGGTACTGCTTGAATGTGGCAGCGTCTCTACAAAGCAGTTATGATGCCTTTCCTCACCTGAACACTGACCCTTGGATTCTGGGCCTCCTGCAACCTCAGATACATTGCAGAGCACCTCACAAGATGTTGACTAGAAAAAGAAAGTTCTGCTTTGCATAATATTTGCATGTGCTTTGCATGCTGTTCACAGAACATCAAAATGCAGAGGCTGGAGCCTGGTACCTTGTCCTCCTCTTGGCCTCCCCACCCAACCACCTGTTAATCCAGTGCAGGGACGGGGGTTCCTGGAGTTGGTCTAAGCTTGTTGCTCCAAGGTGGTGGGGGATGAAGAATGGAAGGCTCCTGCCTGCCTCATCTTTGTCCCTCCCTCCCTCTGCTTCCTGGGGAAAGTACAGGGAGTCAGGCAGGGGAGCCAGCAGCAGACGCCAGTGTGCACACCTGTGATAAACGCAAGCACACACGCATGCGTACACACACACACACCCCACAGCCCTGCAGCAGGAAATGCCTGGGTCTACATGCCTGCCACCTCACAACCCAGGCTGAAACAAGGGAAAGAATTGCTGCTGCTGCTGCTGCTGTCACTACTGAGGGATGGCTGGGCTGCCTGGCTGTTCACAGAGCAGTCTGCCTCTCCCCTCTCCCCAGAGTCACACCCATTCACCTTTCTGATGCTTTACGAGGTGCCTGAGGAAGATCCAGAGACCCAGGAAGTCAGAGGGGTGGGTTCACCTGGATCCACAGATGCATGGAAGGTAGCACCTTATTCACTGAGTGGCTTTGTGGGCACTGAGAGGGACAGAGTTACTGACAATCTGGTGCGGATCCTCAGAACTGTACTAACATCTGCACAAACACTAATCCAGGAGCCCTTCCTGGAGAAGGCAGCCCAGTGCTGGGATTCAAAGGATGGGTAGAGAAAGCAGTAAGACCCGACTGCCCTATCATTTGTCCAGGAACGCAAGGACAGCAGAGAGATGAAAGAGAAAGGCAACAAGAGCTGGATTGTCTGAGGCCTTGAATCAGGCCCGGGAGACAGTGCAGAAGGGGCCTGAGAGACAGGTGCAGGCTGGAGGAATAGGTTTTGAAATCTCCAGCATCCCCACCCTGCAACACTCATACCCTTCCCCTGTCTGATGTGTTCTAGCCACCTACCTCCTGCACAGCTGGCGCCCCACACTAGAAGCCCCTCAAGCTCTCCGAGCTGAGCACCCCAAAAACGGTCCATCCAGGCATGGCTCCCCGAGGTCCTAGCCTCTTCTCTTCAGCCTGACCCAGGGCTTCAGTGAGCAGCTGGGCAGCCAGCTGGCAGGGACCTTCACAATCACCCCCAAGCCCTTATACCTCTAGGCTCCCACAGGGCTGAGGTTCCTTCTAGTGACCATAACTTATGGCACACAGCCTCCGTGAGCCTCAGTTTCCTTACCTCAAAATGGGAACAATACCAAGTTCCTAAGATTCTTATGAGAATTAAGTTGGATGGAGTACTTAATAGAAGAGCTGAAATTTACCTAACAATTCTTTTTTTTTTTTTTTTTTAATTGGTACCAGGGGATCGAACTCACAACTGCCTGTTTGCAAGGCAGGTGCTTATACCACTGAGCTAAATCCCCAGCACCCTCCCCCCCTTCTCTGTTGAGGGCTTTCATTGTGCCCAGGACTGTTTTCAACATCACCTGAGTTCTGGCAACAAATCCCACATAAAGTCCCTGTTCTCAGAGGATTCCAATCCAGAGGAAGAGAATGAACAGAAGATACAAATATGGAGATGAA